CTTCCTTTCCAAATACCAGCTGATTTCCTGAATGATTTAACGATTACAGTGGGAAGAGACACAGTATTAACAGGCAAAGAGACGGTGAGGAGATTGCCAAGGGGCACTGCAGGAGCACTTTCTCTCCCCAGGCCAGCCTTGCACACGGCATTGGCGAGATAGCGACTGAGCTGCGAATTCCCTCGCAGAGGGGGAAAACATCCAAGTGTCACGGCTTCAGGGATGTGAAGTCTGGGGAACTCCTTCTCACTTCAGCTAGGCATCCCGTTCGGTCCCACGCAGGACACGGGAGTTACCACCTGCCAGCCAGGCCACTGATGCAGCCAGCGAGATGAGGAGTTAACCCCCTCGAGATGAGGAGTTAATTAACCCCCTCGTTTCCTGCCTGCCCAAACGTGAGACCTGGCAGGGGCTGCCTCGGCTTGCAACCACGCCATGCCGAGCGTGAGCGCAGCCTTTTTGTCTCAAAGCCATGTCCTCCTCAGCTTGGGGGGGGGTCCGAGTGCTGCTGGAGCACCAGCTCAGCTCCGCTGGAAGCGGGCAAGGCGCAGACCTGGCACCTCACCGGTCAGGCTGCAGCTGCGTGACCCACTTCTGCTGTGCCCTGACAGCGGCTCCTTCCTCATGAAAACACGAAGCCCTCCGAGCAAGCTGGAACAGACCCACGGAGGCAGGACCAACACATCCAAAGCAGCAGTCTGTGTATATGGATTTTTCCTCCTATTGATTAACCCATTTGGAGTTTGTTTATTTGTAGTAAGGCTGCCTTGCAGCTCATTTATGCTCTCTTAATGAAGCCCCTGCAGATAATGCCTCCTGTGCATTAATTACAGGCTCCAGAGCACCCTCCCACCCACGATCCAGCTCCACTCTGCGGATTGTACACCACTTGTCTCCGTGGAACAGGCTCCTGGTCTGCCCTGCAGACTGCAGCCCCATCGCCCACCGCGGGACAGGAGGGGCACGTTCTCGGGGAGGGGGGAGCAGAAATAGCTGTGAAATAGCTGACCGCATCGGGAAGGAATGACCATTCACAGCACATCCCTTTTATAGTAACGGGGCTGCAGAAGAAGCCACTGTCATAGCTTGGTTGGACAATGAACAGCAGTATCAGGGGAAGGTTATTTCCTTTTTCAGAGAAAGGCATCAAGATGTTCCATTTCATCTTTTTCCATATTCCAGGAGCTCAGTGCCAGCCGCTCCATCTGCAGCAGCTGGCATAGTCCATGTCCAGCTGTCAACGCAGCAGCAGAAATAAACGCTGCTCCAAACAAAGGTGGTGTATGTCTAAGAGACCCTGAAAAATCTCCCACTCTTATTAGTTGTTAGAGGCGCAAATGGATATCTATCATTTGTGACTTCTGGATTAGAAAAATAAGGGTACAATACTAACAAAGACTAGACAAGCCTAATAAAAACAGACTTGAACTGAAACAAGATGCCCACAAAGAGGCTAGGGTTACCGTAAGAAACCATTGAGCAAATAACCAAAAATTCAACCTACTATTACACAGTAAAAGTGAAAGCACTGAGGAAGAGTTGCTGGTTCAAATAATAGTTAGTCCTGAGCTCACTTCAGATTTAAAGCCGCAGCACTAACAAGCTACACAGAGTCACTGCTCGCTTCCTACAGCTTCCCCACCTGCTCCCTTTCATCTTTAGTGTGCATTTAGAGGACAAGGGCTGCGGGACAAGAACACCTCGTGTGTCTGGGTAACATCTAACACTATATGAAGTTGGTGCTGCTCAAGGTCTGCAAGCATTACTGTCACAGGAGTTAAAGCATTGCTGAGACGGCTGCCACACAAAACCAATTTGAACTGCAAAACTACACTGTGGATGTTCAGCAGCGACATGCCGAAGTCATTGGCAGCAATCCACCTAAAAGAGACAGAAGTGGTCTGTCTGCTTTTTTGGCAGCTGGGGAGGAGGTGGTGGAAATTGCAAAGGAAGCTGCATGAACTCGAAGAGCAAAACGTGACATTTCTCTTCCCAACTAAAAAATAAAAAAGGGTGTCCTACAGCAGTGGGACAGGAAGGCAGCTTTCTACAGCCTCAGGAGGCACATTCTACATCTTCGAATTCGCAGGGTCAACGAAACAAGAAGCAACTCTCTTCAATGCAGTGCAGGACAGCACGGAGACCCCATACAGGATAAATATCACTGTGTCTCAAGACTCAGGTTTGGCTGTTACTGAGCCCATGGGGAAAGTGGAAAAAAAAATAATAAAAAAATAGCAGCTCTCAGGGTTGGATACACTCACACTGGGCTTTGTGTTGTAAACGCAGCGTGCAGTGCATCTTCGGGGGTATCCAGTGGTGGATACCATGCCACCGCTGATCCACAAGCAATTAGCCTCACCCAGAGCTAGGCAGGGCCCGTGCTCCAACGGAATTTGCAGTGAAAGCGTGTCACAGGACAGGAACGATGCCAGTTTGCCTCCCCTTGCACAACTCTGGCAGCTGGACAACTCTCCACATAAGCAGGAGGCTGATGTACCTCATGCTTCAGTGCCACTTCACAACGCATCGAAAGCTGCTTGTCCTGACCCAATTCATTGCTGAATCAGCGTTGCAGACACATCCCACATCGCCCTTCATTAGCCTGCAGTAATGTATATTTACATACACACAAAACAATCTCTCTTCTGCTTTCAGATCATTGTATTCATCTTAGCTGGAAGAAGTAGTGTTATCGTAGTCACAGCCGGGCTAAGGCTAGGTAAGGCCAAGAAAATATTCCACTACATGTTACCACTTTCCTTTTATACCCTCCTCCCTGCTGACTTCAACAGGAATAACAGCACGCTCTTC